ACGATAGCACCCGTAAAATAACTATAGTGTTGTCTTTTGATATATCCACTATACCCGCAATAATACATTCTATGGCCGCAATCGCAATAGACGCGACATAATCGAAAACACGACCACGACGTTTGAATCCCCGCTTGGAGTATATGTGACTTTTAGGTGACGTTTGATTCGCTGTAATGTTTTTGAGGAAATTTGAATATGTGAAGGAATTGAAATCTGAAGGAATTGGAATTGGAATATGAAGGAATTGGAATCTGAATCTGAAACCTGTTTAATTGGCAGGAAATTGAATTAGAATCCAATTCCATATTTTGTTTGGTTCGCAGACATGTCAGATGAATTTAATTTCAGTAATATAAAATGACAGAGTTGCCCTTCTTGTTCTTTTGCTTAATTTTAGTTTGTTTTATAACTTACATGTAGCAATATATTATAAAAATTTAAAAAATATTAAATTTTCATTTTTTTGATTGATTATTCATTTCAATAAATTATAAAAATCATATTAATAAACATCTTAAGTTAAAATCATCCCAATTAAGGATAGCCATGGGTTGGGTCGAGTTTTTGGTCCACCCGACCCGAGAACAAGGGAACCTCCACCCGAGACCCAACCCGACCAAAATAAAATTTCACCCGATCCGACCCGAATATATGAATTAGAAACCCGACCCGACCCGAAATAATAAAAGAATTATTTTATTCAATAAAAACAGTGACTTAATTAAAAAAAATTATATACAGAGGGGTATTATTGTAATTATTCTTAAATATATAAAGTAAAATTATATATATTTTTCGGGTCGGGTAGAGTGTTTTTCACCCTAAACCCGAACCCGACCCAAATATCACACTTAAAAAAATCCAATCTAACCCGACCCGAATACCATACTTAAAAAAACCCGACCCGACCCAATCCCGATTTTTTTTTAAAAAAAAAATCCGACCCGAATACCAAAAGATTGATGAGAATAGTATGATCAAATTTCACATTCCCTCCTCCAAAGGATTTGAATTACATAATGTTATAGCCCTTATAAAATTGTATTTCAATTCTACCTTTAAAAACTTGAATCAAACGTAAGAAAATTGTAAAATTAGATTCTAATTTCCCCTGATTAGAACGATTCCTGCCAACCGAACATCCCTCCAGTTTTCCTGATGTGTTCTCAGTTTTCACATGGAATCGCCGCTCCCACAATTCAGTAAGGCGGCAAAAAGAGATAACTCATTCCTTTATCTGTTTTCTTCTCTTTAATTTCCCTTCAAAAAGTAGTTCTAATACGACGGTAACCTTTCACGCGCTCTGCCCATTCTCAATTTCCAGCTACCTTTACGTTTCTTCTTCTTCTTCACCTGCATTCTCTCATTAACCCCATCTTTCCAATTCTTTTCCCCCTTCTGAAATTTGGGTTTTCAATTTGGTAGCCTAATTCCACCAAAAAAAGAAAGAGTTTTCCTTTTTTTTCTTTTTTGATAAAGAAAGCAAAGCTCTGACAATGGAAGAACCAGGGCAGTTAAATAGGGCATTACTCGATGCCACCGCAGGTGCCGTTTCGGGTGGTATTTCCCGGACAGTTACTTCTCCTCTTGATGTTATTAAGATAAGATTCCAGGTGAACGGTTTTTTTGGTTTATTTATTCATTATTATTTACATTGTTGTTGTTTATTTTAACATGATGAACATTGGGATTACTGTATATGTTGTTATATTTATGATATTCTTTCTGGGTTTTTGATTTTGTATGAATTAAACTGTTTTTAGGCTTTGCTTGCTGGGATTTTGATAGAAAGAGGTAAAAGATCAATAACTCGTTAATCTATTGGTTCGGATTCATATTATATGTTTACTTTGTAGCTTTACAAGTTTTCCCCATCCTTGCTGCCTAGCAAAATCTTAGAGAACTAGTTGCTGGGATGTTTGGTGACTTCAATTGAGTTTAGTTTGCAATGTTGCAATTCGAAACATATGCTTCACTTGATTGATGAGTATTAAGTAATAGTTGTGGGAATAAACACAGTGGTAGTACGTATAAATAAAGATAATTTCTTCATAGACCTTTGAAATTTGTCATTGGACGAATATTTATAGTGTGAAATCACCCTTGAAATACCGACTGTATGATTTTCATATTTGGCCTAACTTCTGCTAAAAGAAGGTACTGACGAAGTGACGGACCCCATAGAGATGGTAGCGTTGGCTCTCTTGCTGTAGTAATTGCGCACATCTCTCCTTTTTCTCCTAGCGTGCATGGTTTGCTTGTATGCTGCCTTAGACACGTCTTTCTTTCTGAGTTTCACACTGGCCTAATGAATGAATGAAAGTGAGTCTTTTAGTAAGCGGATATAAGCATTCGGGACATTGGGTATCAGATGCATAAAAAATCAGTTTTTTTTCTTGTATGATTTCGGACCATGTTCTATGTTGTTGTCCTCTTCAAAGTTTGCTACTCATTCTTGTTTTTTCACCAGAGCTATTTTTTTGTCTCCTTTTTCCATGTTTAATTATCTTAAACATGTTTCATAGTTTTATCCTCATTGTATGATGATGACACGCAACGTCCATCTTGTCTCATATGCTTCCATTTATGAGAGTTTTCATTTTAGCTTCGGGCATATGTCAGGATATATTAATGCTTTGTTGCAAGCATTAAGAAGTATTTTTTCCTATGCTGATAGGTTCAATTGGAGCCTACATCTTCATGGGCTTTGATCCGGAAAGATCTTTCTGGATCATCAAAATATACTGGAATGTTTCAAGCAACAAAGGAGATATTCAGAGAAGAGGGTTTACCGGTATGAAGGCCATTTTCTTGTAGACTTGTATGTTTATTTCCTCTTTTATTTAACTGGTTATGTTTGTGAATGGTTTATATAGAGACCTTATTAATTTCCGTAGCTAACCACATTGTTAGTTAGCCTTTTCTTTTTCTGCTTGCTGATTTTCCTGAATTCTGGTAAATTTGTTGCTTTGTTCTCTAATTCACTATGCTTGTTTATGGCAGGGATTTTGGCGAGGTAATGTCCCAGCCTTACTTATGGTTATGCCATATACTGCTATACAATTTGCGGTGTTACACAAATTGAAAACTTTTGCTTCTGGTTCTTCCAATTCAGGTACTTTACATTGCCCAATGCCTTTTCTTATGCTCTGATCAAAAGTAACAAGTTTCGGTTATGATGTGTATTGACATCAGCTAGTTACAAACTATTTGTCCTTGATATCCACCATTATATGTAGTATTTTGATATCTAGCTTTTACTATTTCAGATGATAGCCTTGCGTTGTTTCTTACGTCTTGATTTTGTGACGGTGCAGCGGATCACCTTAATATAAGCCCCTACCTGTCTTATGTCAGTGGAGGATTAGCAGGCTGTGCAGCTACTGTTGGATCTTACCCTTTTGATCTTCTACGGACTTTATTAGCTTCACAAGGTGAACCTAAGGTATTAAATTGTATAATTCTGTGATGTCATTTTCTGTTTTGACAACATTTCATTCATTTGTGGGAAATATAGTTTTGAATCCCTATACAATTACATATTCATAATTTATTTGGATTTTTTTTATAAATTTATCCTTGAAATCATAAAGCGTGATGTGCGAAAACTTCTTGTGCATGCAAGCGCCCATTGTGTCCTTTGTCCTTGTACTTCTTACCTGCAAAGGCTTTAAGTTCTTCAATGAAGCTCATTTATTCGACACTTCCCAATTACATGTAGGTATATCCTAACATGAGATCAGCACTATTTGATATACTTAAAACTCGTGGCTTCAGTGGATTGTATGCTGGGTTGTCACCGACACTGGTGGAGATCATTCCTTATGCTGGCTTGCAATTTGGCACCTATGATACATTTAAACGTTCGATCATGGTGAGGTTTTTGTTATTTTACTCGTCACAATAAAATGAAATTTCTTGAATATATTGAAAATTTGATTTGCTCTCGAGACGTGCTTAGTTGTGGTTCGAAATGTTGAATATATATTTCTTCTGACATATGGTTTTGGTGTTTATGTCATCATCTTAGGCTTGGAACCGGTTAAAATCATCAAATACAAGCTCGACTACAGATGATAGCCTTTCAAGTTTCCAACTTCTCATTTGTGGACTAGCAGCTGGTACTTGTGCGAAACTAGTCTGTCATCCGCTTGATGTAGTCAAGAAAAGGTTTCAGGTACATCTCGGTACTTCTTGAAACTCGCATTGCACCATCACCCGGTCGCTGAATGTTAGATAATTATTTATTTTCTGTTAGATCTCGTGTTGAAGGTGTTAGATCTCTTTCCTTGTTTAATTTTAAATAATAGTAATGAATTAATTAACTTTAGTGTTATTGTTTGGTTGCAGATTGAAGGATTGCAGCGGCACCCGAAGTATGGTGCCCGAGTAGAACATCGTGCCTACAGGAACATGTTTGATGCCTTACATCGGATTCTGAAGTCAGAGGGTTGGCATGGTCTTTATAAGGGGATTGTTCCGTCAACAATCAAAGCTGCGCCGGCTGGTGCCGTAACATTTGTCGTTTACGAGTTCACGTCAGATTGGTTAGAGTCCATTTTGACTTGAGGCTGATCCGGATTTTCAATCTTGTTTTCCTTCTCATCTATTACACCATTCATTATTTTTCCCTGGATTTTGTAGAGGCCCTCATAAGAAAATGGGGGGAAGGGTTTATCATAGTATCATTCAATTGTCATTACAGGAAGTTGATATTGTTTATAGAATTCAGTGGTGAAATAAAGATGTAGAGCAACTTCTTATGCCTCTGAAACTCAAGGAAATGCTATTTCTTTTTCCTAGATAGTTGCATGATCTATGAAAAGCTTTGAATGTTGAATCAACGCACTAGATCGATACCAGAACCAAAATGTAAGAATCGGATGAGCATCATCGCCATCTTTCTATTATATTTTCATAAATTCATAATATAGTGTATGTATCAGAGGGAACATCAAAAAACATTCTAAAGCGTTCCTCTGCATGCAGATGAATATATAAACTAATGTCAATTGATAAACTTCAAAATTTCTTCTGAAATGAACCAGCACCCTTATTCAAACACAAAATCCAACTTGAGAAAAAATGGAAGTCAGTGTTCTTTGTTTAGGTTTTTTGGGTTTAGTGTTGTCCTCCGGTGGCAGCGATATGAATTGCAAGATCGTTTGGACCTTTGCAACATCCAGTCTAAACTTCTCTGCAATCCGGTCAACATCCAAGGGACCACCGTGATCATCGGCCTTGCCCTGATGTAAAAGCATGATGTGGTGTAGCTGTTTCACATTCAAGGTTCCTGGAGGCGCAGTCCTTTCCTCATACCTTGTGGACTCGGGTGTTGTATTCCGCAATTTCGGTAAGGGTCTGCTAGGATTTTCAGTCACAAATGCCTGCAGTAGGAGGAAGTTGATGATAACCAACATTAAAGAACACTATCTCGTGTCACAAACATTCCCCTCCACCATTAGAAGATACAATCATTGTATCGGGGTGTATCACAAACCAAAACTGTAACATTAAAGAAGGGAAACAAAATAAACCGAAATCAACCCCGTTAAGGCCAAATGAAATCTTTCTAGTAAATTATTTACTCTAGTCACTCATCCCTCTATCCCAATGGATATCATAGACTATTTCAATTCAGTGAAAAGCAGACAAAGCTCACATGGAGGTCTAAAGACACTAGAATTTGAATCAATGCAAAGGCAGAGAGTTTAAACGGTATAAGAGGGGTAGAAAAACCTTTTTTTGTGTGAAAAAAGGGGTAGAAAAACTAGAGGAAATAGCATAGGGGCTTCAGAGTCACTTTCTTAAATTGAAAAAACAAGGTCCATAGCTATCTGAATCAAGCTCAAGAGAGAGGCCATAAGTGAATGTTGCTTAAGATTGGTGCTAAACCGACCACTCTTTTGACATGAACTTGCATTCTGGTCCATCTCATTTCAAAAGAACAGCAGATGTATTATTCTGGCTGTTTGTACTCCTATGTTCCAGTCATTGGTGAAAGATATTGCTGCCTTAGTGGAGAGTAGAGGTGTAATTGTTTGGCATATTTTGAGAGCTGCTAATTGGGAAGCGGATAAATTAGCTAAAGTAGGAATAGGATGAATATTAGGGTATTGCCTAGGTTGTACGGCTATTGAGTTTGTTATTTATGTTCTTTGTTTGGTTTTTAAGTCTTATGTTGTAACAGAAACTTCTTAGGATATGGCTATGTATTATTCTGGTACTAATGAATTATTAGGCACTCTTTTCCTCCTTCCTATGCCCTTCATGTTATTGTTGAAACATGGAGGTTAAGAAGGGGGGGGGGGTTTAACGAGGCCTATCCTATTTCTATCAACAACAAAAAAAGAAAAGCAGATCCCACTACACAACAAAAATTTTCATTAAAAAAATGAAAATACTAGAAATACACAGGAGTGAGCAAAATCATCCTAAAAAGAGTATTCCATGTTTTTGGATAATATACGGCATAGCCAGTCCATGAGTCAAACTTCTGAGAATTTGTACTTCAAATATGTTTAGTGGTTTAGTTCTTTGTATGGTTTCCTAGCCTCTACATTCCATTTCCTTCAAGTGGAAACCTTTGTGTCTGGTGGGTTTGGGGGGGGGGGGGATCCTATCTAAAGCATTGTTTTGATTCTATCGAACACCATTATAGCTATAAATTTCCTTTTTGAATTCACTGTTATTCACTAAAGTAAAAGCAAATCAAAGAAAAAAGAAAGAGAACTTCAATGAACTGACCTCACCCATCTCAAGTTTACCACCAGGCTTAGCTGAAATCCTACCCACCATTTGACTAAGCATTGCATCATACTTGGGTTCTCTTTCTTCCAGTACATTCTCGGGATTGCTTCTCGTAACTCTACCTTCAAACCCCAAAGATTCAAATTCAATCACCCACCCAAAAAAACATAAGAACTCAAAATAAAAATTTCAACTTTCATTTTGATTTAACAGAGAAATGAATTACCATGATCGAGATCTTCATGCTGGGAAGCTCTGGGTATCTTCTGTTCATCGGTACCCAAAGGTCTTCTTGTTCTTGCGGGTTGTTATTGGCCCACCGATCGGAGCCCACCAGTCTCTCGACGAAATGCCTGGTCCATTTTCTCCCTTATTTCTCCGCCCTTTTAGTTAAAACCTTCAACTTTCCGGGATAAAGGAAAATACCCAGATTGCTAATTTGATTCTATATCATTGTTCGCAAACTGGACGGTCGTTTAAAACCCTAATAAGGAGCTTTCTGGGTTTTATGCTCTTGGATTTGTTCTGATAGAAAGAGAGTGAAGAAGGAAAAAGAGGGTAAATCATGTGTGGAGACCACGCGCTGTATGACAGTTGATTCTTGTTTGCCACGCGGTGACTTATATGAACACAACGTGAACGTTAGTTTGCCTTACTTTAATTTAGCTTATATACAAAATAGGTCCCTCTAATTATACCTAAAAATCAAATGAGCACCTTAATTAAATCATGGATCAAATGAATTTTAATATAAAATAATATTATTAAAATCATGAAACATTATGATTATGTAAATATGGGATTTATGGATTTCAAAGAAAACATTCTAAAAAATTATTAAAATTCTAAAAGTTAATAGTTTTTAAAAATACCACTCGATAATATTGTATCATAATATATGAAGTTATTTTATCTAAAAATAATATTATATTTAATGATCAATATTAATCAAAAGATAAATTGATGAAATTTTACAATATAAAATTTAATCCGATTTTAAATAATTAGATGTTTCATTGTTTTTTTTTTGTCAAAATTCTAAGGATCTTTGAGACCCTTAAGTCTTAAAAAGAATCATATACAATCAAATAAGTATTTAAAAAGTTATGAAGGACATTTTCATTTAAATCAATTCTAATGGTAAGGTTTTAAATAAGGTTTATATAACAACATTGTTTTGAAAATCGGACCGGATCGGTCGATTCAACCGGTTTAATCGGGAACCGTTGCCTAGTCTGGTTCAATCTAGACCGATTGAATCGCTACTAGTGAACCGACCGGAACCACTGAACCGTTCAAACTGGACCGGCTGAAAATAAAAAAAACGGGGAAAATCAGAAAAACCGCCAATTTTGTTTTTTTTTAAATTAAACCAAACGACGTCGTTTGTTAAACGAGCCAAGTCGAACTTGAGTATTACTGAGCTCGACTCGAACTTGAAAATTTTAAAAGTAAGCTTAACTCGATTCAAACTCACGAGCTAAAAATTATGAAGTTTAACTCGAACTTGAAAAGGCTTGAACTCAAAAAAAATTTAGAAGCTCGATTGAAGCCTAAAATTCGAGCTTGATTGAAGTGAAAGAATAGTTCACTCAATGCTTATCAAAAGACTCCATGATTTTGAATGTCAAATTACCTTTATTATTTATAGAAGTTAGTTGGGATGATCTTCTATGTTTCTTAGCCATGTGGGATTGTTTTTAAAAAAAAATTAAACCAAACAATATCATTTTGTTATGATTTTTTTAGCCCCAAATTTATTTTTTAATTATAATTATGTAATTATATTTATTATTTAATATGTTTTACCTTAAATATTATGTTGTAGTTAATTTGAATCATTTTGTTTCACTTGATTTTATGGTTTTTAACTTATATATGTTATGACTTGCTTTGAATATGAATTGTGATATAAAAAATTATTTTTTATTAAATATTTTTGATATTTTTATTTAATTTTTTAAATAATTATAACGTCGTCCGGTTGAACCAGTGAACCGGTAGCATGGCCGGTTCGCTAACCGGTCCGGTTCTGAAAACCATGTATAACAAATAAATATATAAAGTATATTACTTTTTTTTATTTAAGTATTTGAAGAATTTTTTGATAAAAAAATAAGTATTTAAAGTTATTATTTTGGTCAAATATGTATTTAATATATATATATTTTAGATTAAAATCAACAATTATAGACATATATTTATAATATATGTTGTTACCATAAAATATAACTTAAATTAAGTGATCAATTATGTTATAAGGTCATAAGATATTAAAAATGTCATGAAAATAAAAGTGTAGACATTATTAAAGTTGTATTTATAATTTGATAGAGAAATAGATAAGTACAAACAATAACTGATTTTTAAAGTAACTATATAAAGGAGTTATGAATCATCTTGTATTTTTATTTCGTTAAATAATTTACACTCAAAAGAATTTTATCTTCCTAAAAGATTACAACCAAATATTTGAGGATATATTTTTAGAACGCTTATATTTTGATCACCTAACTTTTGAAACTTATAATACGATCATCAAATTTTTAATTAGTTTTCACTAAAATTCCTACTGTTACCTTCCATCACTTTTTGCTAACGTGAAGAAATGTAATGATATTTTTCGAAGTCTCTTGAGTCAACCCTCGTTATATAATCCATTCCACACCACCTTCCATCTCATTTCCTTGAAAACCATGGCAGAATATCTACAGCACATGATGACGGAGGTTGAAGAAGGATGGGCAGTGATTCAACAAGGAATCGACAAACTGATTCTGATCATATAAGGCGACAAGACTGGAGTTTTTCATCCAAAGATTACATGAACATCTACACGTATCCTTTTTTATTCGATTTCAAGGTCGATATTCGATCGAGCCTTAGCTCAGTTGATATATGTGTATCGTAAAAATGGTGGGTTTTCTTGACTGGTTGCTAGAATTGTGTACAATATGTGTGAGCCTAACCCTTTTGATCAATAGTAGATCGAGTCTTAGCTCACTTGATAGATTCGGGTTATAAAAAAATGGTGGGATTTCTTAATAGATTGCTAGAAGCCTAGATTTGTGTTCAATATGTGTAAGCCTAACCCTTCTGATCAATAGTCGATCGAGTCTAGCTCAGTTGATAGATTTGGATTGTAAAAAAATGGTTATTTTTTAATAGATTGCTAGAACTGTCTACAATATGTGCAAGTCTAACCCTTCTGATCAAGTTGATCGAGTCTTAGCTCGGTTGATATATTCGGATTGTAAAAAATGGTGGATTTTTTAATAGATTGCTAGACTGTCTACAATATGTGTAAGCCTAACCCTTCTGATCAATAGTCGATCGAGTCTTAGCTCAGTTGATAGATTCAGATAATAAAAAATGGTGGGTTTTCTTAATAGATTGCTAGAATTGTGTAGAATATGTGTAAGCCTAACTCTTCTGATCAATAGTCGATCGAGTCTTAGCTCAGTTGATAGATTCGTATTATAAAAAATGGTGGGTTTTCTTAATAGATTGCTAGAACTAATGTAGAACATGTGTAAGCCTAACCTTCTGATCAATAGTCAATCGAGTCTTAGCTCAGTTGATAGATTCAGATCGTAAAAATGCTGGGGTTTCTTAATAGATTGCTAGATTTGTGTACAATATGTGTAAGCCTAACCCTTCTGATCAATAGTCAATCGAGTCTTAGCTCAGTTGATAGATTCGGATTATAAAAAATGGTGGGTTTTCTTAATAGATTACTAGAATTGTGTAGAACATGTGTAAGCCTAACTCTTCTGATCAATAGTCGATCGAGTCTTAGCTCAGTTGATAGATTTGGGTCGTAAAAATGGTGGTTTTTTTAATATATTGCTAGAAATAATGTACAACATGTGTAAGCCTAACCCTTCTGATCAATAGTCAATCGAGTCTTAGCTCAGTTGATAGATTCGGATCGTAAAAAATGGTGGGGTTTCTTAATAGATTGCTAGAATTGTGTACAATATGTGTAAACCTAACCCTTATGATCAATAGTCGATTGAGTCTTAGCTCAGTTGATAGATTCGGATCGTAAAAAATGGTGTGTTTTTTGTAATAGATAGCTAGAACTGTGTACAATATGTGTAAGCCTAACCATACCGGTCAATAATCGATTGAGTCTTAATTAATTGATACGTTCGAATTGTAAAAATGGTGGGTTTCTTTTACTGATTGCTAGAACTGTGCACAGTAAGCCTAACCCTACTGGTTAATAATCGATTGAGTCTTAATTCAATTGATACGTTCGAATTGTAAAAATGGAGAGTTTCCTTAACTGATTGCTAGAAATGTGTACATGTGTGAGCCTAACCCTACAGGTGGAATGTGTGAGGTATTATATGAGAAGCATAATGATGTTTTCAAAGACTACATCAACAGCCAGGTTTTGCCATCACTGCAAGGGAAAGAAGATGAAGCTTTGTTGGAAGAGACAGAGAAAAGATGGTCAAATCACAAAGTTATGACCAGATAGCTCGCTAGATTCTTTCACTATTTGGATAGATACTTTGTTCCTAAAATGAAGCTTCCTAATCTCCAAGAATCTGCTCTTTTAACTTTCTATAATCTGGTCAGTCCTAAATTCTTTTGTGTATACTATTCGATATTGTATCACTGTGACTCGATCATATGAAGAGTCGTGAGAGGTTTACATAGGCGTGCAATGTGAGCATTTGTATGTAGGAAGATTCGAGTCATACGTAAGGTTATGAGATCGAATCTTCCCAAACACAAATGCTTGTATTTGACGACTGTGACTCTCCTCTCATTCATACGAACACGAAATGTTTCAACAATATTCAATGCCAAATCTAAAGTTCTAGTTATATGCATATATGTTGCTTTGTCAAGGTATTTGGAGAATTCAATAATCAAATCAGAGGTGCTGTATTGTCCCTGGTATGAACAAGCTTCTGCATGCATTTCTTCTATACTTAAATTTCGCGTTTTCGATCTTGCTGCATTTACGGCTACTTAAATGCCGTAAAGTATCCTATTTTTAATTTAGATTGATCGGGAGCGGGAAGGAGAAGGCATTGATCAAGACTTGGTGAAGTACATTGTGAGTATCTATGTAGATGTTGGGCAAGGCTCGATGAAATACTATGAACGAGGCTTTGAAGAAGCCATGTTTGAAGCTACTGCTGCATTTTATTCCACCAAGGCCCCTAGCTGGATCAAAAATGAATCTTACAACGATTACATGCTTAAGGTGTAGTCGCGGACATGATTTCGGACGAATTTAAAATTTTAAATCCCTGTTTCCCATCCAGAACTGATCAATCTTCTGCATTTTTATGTTGAAAATTTAGCTTGAAAGTTGCTTGAAACATGAAAGGGATACTGTTTCTTGTTATCTGCAGAATACAGACCAAAAGAAGTTACTTGAGGTTCTTCTCTGGTTTCTTTTCTTTACTTGGAAGTCCTCGTGCCGGACACGTCCGACACTCGCACTCATGTTGGAGTACCATAGGTCTCTGTTTATGACTTCATTTTCTCATTTTCTCATTTTCAAATGGCTACAGATTGCTGAATTTGAATTGATATCTGTTTATGAAACTGAAATGAAAGAGAAGAAACAGGCTGATGAATCTCTTGGAGGATGAGAAGGAACGTGATCCATGTTGAAGAGAACAGACTTTCCCGTTAATATTTACTTCAATGCTAAATTTAATTTTCTGCTTAGTTGCCGATAAAAGGTTGCGTGTGTCTCAAGTCAAAAATTTATTGCCTAAAGTTATATTTTTAAGGGATATTTTTTGGCAAATTATGGCAGTTAGGGTTTTGACCATCAGGGTATTTTGTAGGTTTGTTAGTTAAGGGTATTAAAACGAAGGTATAATACACAAACCCGAATCTGAATAACATAGTTAATTACGTAATCCAAATCCGAATGTTAACGTATCCGACACTCGAATCCAAGTAACATAGCTATCCTGCAGTTCTATCAAGAGATGAAAACAAGCCAGAACAAGGGAGAAACAAGCACCACAAAAATCTCTGTTGGAAACTTGCACTGTTATCTAAATCAAACTCAAGCTTGACAACAAACACACAACAATCTTCCAAAAGAATATAATTTTCAATTCCAATAGATTTTCGAGATAACTGTTAGCGGATAAACTGATTATTTCTCAACACTACATCAGTATTCAACCTCTCGATAATGATTGCCTAATGAATTCCAAACTCTCTATATATATTATTTTCCTCGGCCCGAAACAATGGAGCAAAAAAAAAAGGTAACCGTACGGAACCAATATCTTACATAGAACTCCGAATCTCTAGCTGAGCAAGCTAGCTTATCGATGAGAAGAAGGTGAACAAAAATATACATTGCAAATTTGCAAATCAATCTCACTTTATACACATGTACACTGAGGCAATATAGGTTGTTGGTGAACGGTGTATTTGTTTGTCTCCGAATGCAGGTCTAAGTAGGCATCTTTTTCATCTTTTTTCTCCAATGCACATCGGGGGTTATAAACCAAACAACACTATTATATACAGCGTGTCTAATCTCTAGCACTACCTAGCCAGAACGACTTATGGCCTGCATAGCCTGCTGAACCAAAGATATAAATTCATCTAAATCTTGAAAGCTGAAATCAATAACCTTTTTAACAGAAGCAATCCACTCTATGTTTTGTGCTTCTTCCAGAGATGAAGTAGCAGCTACAAAACATGTTTGGGATTTTCTCGAGGCCCCCATTGCAAAACTCACATCCTGTGTCTGCAGAACATTAACATATTTAACCTAATTAAACCGCCTAATCAGCTAGCATAGACATTGAGAGACGGAACTCTAATCAAGTTCATATGAGATTATACCAGATAGTTATATATGACCAGTACGGAATGATTTTGTAGCTTTATTTAAAATAAAGATCATTGCACAGACTTCAGATCTTATTTATCATTTTTTTTCAAACTCCAGTACAGGCAAACTCCCAAATTAAGAAGGAAAACAGCATAAACCTGACACTAAAATCTACATGAAGCTTGGCCAGGCTGTGTTAACACCAATCTACTAGACATAGAGAAAAACAAGTGTATCGACTTCCTGTCTTAATCGTATAGCATAGCTATCAAAGGATCCTTCAAACAATAAAAATAGTAGTTCTACTGCCAGAAAGTTAAGAAAGGCCTACACGAACAAAGAACCCTGATCAGAAGATGCAAATCTATACTGCATGGCAGTGCTAGCCTGCTAGGTATCCTCATTAGTCATTATCCTGTTCAACAATTCGTCGTTCAGATTATCACCTTATTTCCACCAAATTAACATATATCTATCTTCAACCACCTCATAACTACTTTACAAGTCCATATAATGGTCTTCAACTACGAAGGAACATTCAAGTAGTAAAGAATAATTAATTACTGCATAATAAAGCGAGAAAGAGAGAGCAGGGTGATGGGGAATATCGGTACTTTCAAACAGAAAAAACTTACAAAGTCAAGCAGCCGGCCGAAACTCGGGTAGTTTATAGCAACAACGGCATGGGTTCCAGCAACATGTGAAACATTACCCTTGGCTAATTGAGCCTTGCCCACAATTGCTTGATTATTTAAGTTATTATTGACATCTGATACAGAAGATGATGGAGATTCACCTGAAAGAGGCCATTTGAAAAGATGTTGGGAGGTATTCAATCTGAGCATTGCAACATGAAAGTGAGATAACTAATTAATATGGAAGAAACAAAATTTTCAGTGGATACTCTATGTTAGACACCTTAAAGCATGATATGCAATTACAATTGGGGCACTAGCCCAATGAGGGCTCCGTAGGAAGGGAAAACCAAATATGAAATATCTACATGACGTCAAATGGATCCTAAAAATACCACGTGCACTACTGACTGTCATATAAACAAATCACAGTTGCAGAGCTCCTGCCCTAAAGATGGCACAACTTATATTGCACATAATTCACATTTTAAAATGAAACATCACAAAATAGAAGGTTCATACCATCTAAAGGAATTGGCAATAAATCACGGGAAAAAATCCATGTATTCCTCCAATGACTTCTTACCTTGGGGGACCATCTGTAGAGTTGCTTGTAACTCTTTCAGGTCTCTGCAGCTAGAAGAATGTTTGCAGGAAACAATCCTCATGCACGCTACCCACAAACATTTATAGGCCAAAGTAGCAGCAGCCATTTCCTGGCATTTTTCATATTCTTGGGCACACATTCTGTCAAATTGAGAATTTCAAGATAGGGCAAAATAAAGGGATATATCAACCCTCATACTGTTAAATTTAAACCAAAAAAAAAATCTATTCAAGCTCAAGAAACAATAGTTTCTCTTCACTTCAGAAACATTCACTTACTCGCAAAGTTTAGTGGCAGTGATGTACACTTGCATTTGGTTCATGTCTCCATGTCTACCGCTCTCACTATTACTGGCCTCTAGAAGGGCAGCAACACCAAGAAACTTAAGAGCAGCTTGGAAGTAAATCTCATTGCTTTCAAAAACAAAACCAGAACTCTGAAATGGGCAATGAAATGGTAGTAACAGTTAGAATAACAAAACCATTTCTGTTATATAACTTTTATGGAAGAAGTGTATCAATATAAGGACAATCTGAAAAGAAACCTTAAGACGATCAGCATAAATTCTAAGTCCTTTAGCATCATTCAGTGCATTTGTTACTGTCAGGCTGAAGGAATTTTCTCTCACAGGACTGCCAGCATTCTTGCTGCTAGCTTTTCCAGGCTGTTTTAGAGCCTTTGACACATCAACACTGGAAGTGTCACTAACTGGAACCTCATCAGAGACAACTCCCTGTTCTGCTTCTGGGACCGTTCGATGACCTTTTTTCTCTTGCCAACTTTCAGTTTCAGAATGCAAGGATGATTTTGGCATTCCTCTTCTTACCTCTACTCGCATTACTTTAGTTTGACTGCTAAAATCCTGGATCACATTTTGCTCAGGGCCATTGTTCCCCATTTTGCTGCATGGAGCAGCAGATTTTACATCGAATTCATCATGCTTTTTATTCGATTGGGTCCCCATTCTACTATCACTTGATGGTTGTCCTGAAGGATTCCTCCTACCAGAATAGTTCTTCTCATTCTCGCTACATTTCATCTTATCTGCAGCATAACTTTTATTGTCTTTTGTCTGTAAAGTAGAAACCTTCTTATATTTATGAGAAAATAATGCATTGCCACCACACTCCTTGTTCAATATATCCTCACTATGGGAACATTCTATAGTATGCTGCGCATTTTCAGCAGAATGAGAATCACCATTGAGCACATGGCTATTCCCCAACCTAGAAGAAGGTTTACTCCTAATGATGATTTTGCAAAGAGAGTCTTTATCCCCATAATCCAAGGTAGAAGATTTACGGGATCCAGGGTTAAAACCAACTAACACTTTCTCTTTCATTTCTATACCAGATTGAGCAAGCTCAAAAGTGCCTTCTCCATTCCTACATCTTCCAAGATTGCCACTTGAAGAAATGCCACTATTTTCAGCATCCTTCCCTGAACCAGCAGTTGATGCAAGCTTTTCTGGATATGAAGTCCTCATTGGAGATGAAGACACTGATTCAACTATTGAATCCCTTGCTTTTTCAAAATTTCCTCTGGTTTTACGAGAACATGAAACCTTTGAAGAACTAGAAGTTGCTGGTATCAAAATTCGTCCAGTTCTAGAATCCCTTCTCGAAGAATCAAGGCCATCCAATTCATTTTGAGATGAAGACTTTTTCTTGTGCTTGCTTAATTTCAGGTTCCCATCAATACATTGGATGTCCACAATGCCACCAATCAAATGATCCATAATTTTCCTGTTTGGTGTACTGTCACCATCATTTCTATTGAACTGCTTCCCCTCAATCTTATAAAATTGTAACTTCTTTTCATTCCTAGAACAACTCTCACTACTTTCTTCCTTCATGCACAACTCGTTCCCATTTTGACTGTCCTGCCAGCCATCCAATTTCCTTTTCTTCAATGGAGCCCTTTTATCACATATTCTCATGTTCAATGACCCACCATCTGGTGACACCAGAGTTCGATCCACAAGTTTCTTCACAGAATCTACTGATTTTTCAAAAATACCATGCTTTACATCCCCAGAATTCGAGCCCCCATTACAATTCTGCATGCTTCTTCCATCTGCTTGAGTTGGAAAGCTAGTGCTTAAACTAAGGCCCACCCTTCCATGATCTATGTTAGAACTGTAATGTTTATCGGTAGTGTATCCTACTTCTGTTTTGCTTTTCTTTGAACCTGCATAAGGACCGGATTCCCTCTTGTTTTTCATCTTTGTTTTCCTGGTCTCACCTACACTCAAACAATGCTCAAAATGAATAACAATAACCTCAATATAAAAGTCTGACTGCTAGTGAATTTCATGCTGTAATATCAACTAAATACCTCCAACTAGAAGCCTTTCTTTCTCTTCAAAGGTGGATTTCTTCATGAAAAATGGTTCAACAGGGGCCTGAGTCATGTCATGTAGGCTCTTACTTTTCAAAGATTCTCGCTGTTGTTGTTTTTTAGAGTTTGACATCTGATTCAGGCAACTGCTACCCGCTTTCTGCACTTCCTTAAGACCATTGTTCTTCTTTACTTGAATAGATAAAGGCTGAGAATTGTAACTAGAGCTGTTCTGATCAAGATGCTGAGACTGAGCTGAAGTAACAAATGACATACTTCCATTTACATGATTTTGTGGGTTATTTTGATTCCCAGCAACTGGAGCCTGGTACAATGCATTGAGAGCTTTTGTTGTCTCATCCTCACTAATGCCACACTGATTCATTCCTGGCCTATACAATGATTTCAATAACAGAAACCAGCAAAAGAAAAATATAAATGCATTTGTTCACACACATCGACAATACATATATACATATATCTATTATTGTAAGCACTCAAACAAAGAGACAGATATATTCAACAAAAAAATTATTAGATACTAATCTAAATAACTTACAGCCAGTTAAGCATCCTACACAACCACTTCTCAGGGAGTTGTTCTGGTCTAGTATCAAAAGGCAAAAGTCGCCACTTTTGACAACGATCACACTGAACCCAATTTTCTTCTATGACTATAGGAGCATTTGCAGCTGGTGCAGCCGTCTGAGAGGGAAACCTCTTATCATAGAGCTGAGGAACCACATCTGGAGCAGCCACTCCAGACAGGTGGTTATCAACCGTTCTACCACTAACGTTTACCTTCGACTTATCCAAATAGCCATTATGCTCCATCTTAAAATCTTTCGGCCTATTCTGAAAATGTCTAATTGTTGACCCCATTTGGCCCCATTTCTGTTTGGATTCTGTTTCCAGTGCATCTCTATCATTATCTTGGACCTGATTAATATCCTCCTGCATCTTCAATTTCCGAATCTTATCTTTATCTGAAGAAAAACCTTGACTAGAACTAGTGGTATCTTTAAGGGTCAAACCCACATCAGGTCTCAAGCTTTCTTTCATCGAATCAGCAACTTCTCCAGTATTTTTGCTACCTTTTGACTTCTTGCCCTCAAACATCTTTTCCTTCTTGGAGGGAATGCTTATTTTATTTTGTACATGAAATGTGGCTATCTGACCAACCATTGTTTTTGAATCATCCTCAACTTTTAAAGGAGCAGACTTTTGGTAGCATTTGCTTCCAACATTGTCCCCAAGGTCGAGTGAAGCATTTTTATTGGAATTATCTACACTTTGTTCCCAACCCTTTTTATCTAAACTACTCCCCTTATCCCACTTCTTTTTTTTGCCACTCGGTCTGCTCCTTCCAGATATTGACTCCAAAGAATCCTCCTTTCCAGAGTCAGAGGAAATCAATCTACTCCTCAATGCATTCTGATTAGTTTCTGCAGAGACATCAGAGACCCTAGCAGTTGCTTCCAGAGAAATATTCACAGAACTAGATGGAGCTGTGTGTTTCAAGTCATTGGGCAATGACTCCTCTCCTGCAATCTTAGTCTCATGCTTCTTTTTTATGAACAATGTCTTCCCATTCTCAACATTCATGTGATTTCCATGCTTTGATTCCACCAGCTCTTCACTTTTCCCGATTAAAAATTTTGGTTTCTTCTCATGTAATTGTTTTCTATTACCCAAAACAAACTCATCTATTAACATTGAAGAATGTTCTTGGCATGCCTTAAGCAACGGTATAGATTTATTTTCTCTAGAAGGTCTTTCCTTTTCCTTTCTTAATAACCATAGCACACTGTCATGAAGAGGAGATATGAGCATACCACCAGGGACATGATTGGAAGTGATAATCTGTTTAAAGGCAAAAAAAATCAACCCATACTTCTTTAGCTCATAAGAAGACCTGAAAACAACCAAAAGAAACCTCTACCTGAAGAATTCTAGTGGGTGATTTGCTATTGGTTTCTTGAGATACCATTAATGTTCCTCCACTTTCATCAGGACTGTTCCCCAATGACGAAGATGGAGAAAAATCAAGCCCGAGACCGCTATAGATTGCAGCAAGTTTTTGTGCTTTCTTTTCAGACCCCATTTTAATTCGAACCTTTAATGTCTTCTGATCACTTGGAATCCCTGCTTTGTTAAAACTCTCATCCTTAAAGGCAGACTTCTCGACAACTTGAGCAGAAGTCAAATGTGAATCCTGATTAGCTGCAATATTGCCACTTGGGCAGGAAATGTTCCCTGCTCTCCCAGTTGGGAGTGCATTTGGAGGAGCTTTCAAATTCTGAGATGCACCCTGTATGGTAATACAATCCACATCACTCAAGTAAACTATAATTTCTGCCAAGGCAACAGTTATGGCCATATTCCGAAGAAATTAATAAACCATAGCAAGGATATCGTCCATATACCTCCATAGAGAAATTGTTGGTTGACCCTGATATGCTGGTGTTTTTTTGTGGTGTCTTTGGACATGATAATCTTGGAGGAGAACGTTCATAGGTAGGTAAAAATGAGCCATATCCACCAAATTTTGCCCCTGAAAAAAATTAAGTCCAAATCATCATCTTCAATGGAAAACATTAAGCTTGTGATATAACTAAAAATTTGTTAAAACAGTGATCAACCACTTACCCAAATTTTCTGCAGAAACTCCACCTTCAAAATCTTTTTGAAAATGGCCCAAAACATTTTTAATCTTCTCATCCTTTAAGAAATAAAACCCATATTACTATCATAATAACAAGGAGAATTTTGAAAGTTAATGTAAATTAAAACTGACATATAGACCAGATTGAAGTACATCTAAAACAGACACAACAAGCCAACTGTTATAAGCATCTTGAAGTTCATTCTTTTCAGGAGCTTAACAATAGCATATGAACTAATTGTAGCATAATATTTCAAATAAAAATTAGATCAAATAAATTAAGAAATTTCGGCAAACAGTATCAACATTAAAAATTCCAAAATGTTGAAGAAATTTTGGAGACCATAAAGGCAAATTTCTGCCGAGAGACAAGACAAGTGTTTTACGAAGTTCAGCTTATCATTTACTTTCTTTTCTATGCCTCATCTTTCTCAAACAATATGTCAAAAAAATATTAGTAGTGAAGTAACACGACCACAAACTTTTAACAAATTAGAAAATAATATGACACTGGTGCATCTAATTTACCATTATCAATACTGTCACATTGCATAACTAGCTATAAAACCTGCACGAAGACATTAAAAATCTACTCTTTTATTTGTTTTTTAACATTCCTACTGACGAAAAATTAACCTAGATAACCAACAAGTATGCAGAGGAAGTTAAAAATATCATCTCATTTATCAACATTCGCTGTCATCACTCTTCATCATTTCTCAACCAATAAATTGTATTAGTGAATCAATGTTCACATACCACAAATAAACTCAAAGCTAAAGCCTCATAAAACTCTAATGCATGTAAAGAGCCACAACTTATTCTGATAAGTACCTTGCCTATTATGCTTAATCAAACCCAAAACTAACCATTATTTCAAAGTAACCATTCCCTGCAAGTTGCAACAAAGCTTAATAAAATTGCATTGCCTACATATCATAAATGCATATTGAAACTCTGAATTCAGCCTAATTCCTACCCAAAACTCAAATGCCATTAACTGGAGAACAATTCCAAATTTCAGAAAGAGAAATAGATGTAGAAATAATTGGATTTTTCTTCAAAAAAGACTTAAAAAAAATTAGAGCCTTACAATGTATGAGAAGGCGGTATAAGGGTTAATATTGTCGTCTTCATCTTCGTGCAAACAAGCTTCTCCTTCTTCAAGCTCGGAATTTTCATCCATCTCCAAACCCACCACTCCTCCAAAAACCCTAACCCTGACTTACAAAAACCTTAACCCCTCAAATTCCGCACCTCTCCGAAAATCCAACGTATCAAGATTTTAAAAAATAGAAAAAAAAAATAAAAATGGAACAAAATACTAGAAAGAAAAAACAACAAAACCCACAAAGAAAATGTCTCGAAATCGACTCGAATCCTATCAAATTAAAAGACAAAAAATATTACATAAGCAATCTTTTTTAATATCAATCGAGTTGACAAAATTCGTTAATTATTTTTCTCTTTTTTTCTTGCTTTTCTTCCCTTCTTTTAACTCACAGCCAGAGAGATGTTGGTGGTCAGACGACGAAGATTGTAGTGATCGACGAGTGGCGCCGACTCAGGATCCCGCGACGCGGTGCCGAGTTCGTTTTGTGGTCCCTTTCTTTGTTTCCAGAAAATTTGTTCAAACCTTCGTCTGAAGAAATTAAAAAATAAAATATTTATTAAAAAAATAAAACAGCATCAACAGTTAAAAATATATGAATAATAAATTGAATTTAAAAATTAAATCTTTAAATATTAATATTAAAAAATATTTTTTACTAAACTAAAATGATTATAAAATATTATATATTCTAAAAATTTCTCTATCATTTTATTGTAATTACTACGTTTAAGAACAATAAAAATTGATTTATACTTACATTAGAAAGTCAACTAGTGGAGATGATTATAATGAATTTTATTATATTTTATTTAAATTAATTGATTAATAAATAGATATAAAAAATGCATTCTTTTTAATAATATTAAATGGGCTTCGCTTTTTTGTTTTCCTTTTCACAGGTGCAAATAAAATTCCGTTGATGGCGCGTTGGCGGCAGGAGCGTAGAAAAGTTGGGACAGTTTGTAACCGGTACAAAACGACAACGTTTATGGGTTTTTATGGGTAAACCACAAGGGAGACCACTAAACTATTAAAAAAAATCAATTTGATTACAAAAGTTTCAATTGAATCAATCAGACCACCCAACTATTTAAATATTTCAATCAAACCACCGGCCGTTATTTTTTAACTGACTTGTTCATTAAAATATTTTTGGTATAATTCACAATTAATCCCTATAACTTATATATTCTTTTAATTTAATCCTAATTTTAATAAATTAAAATAAATTTAACCATCAAATCAGGAGGTGCCACGTGTCTTTATTCGATTTGATGAATAAATTTATTTTAATTTAGTTTTAATCTAATAAATTTATTTTACACCAATCAGAGGGTGTCATTAAGCTAAGGTAGCCATTTGATATGTTTTGGACAACAAATAATATATATTGTACCTTAATATATAAATGCTTTACTCAAAATAAAAGAATATTTTATATATCTTAAATTTTAAAATTATATTTTATTTTTGTTTTAACTTATTAAATATATTTTATTTTTTATAAACTTATTAAATATTTTTATTTTTATTTTAATTAAAAAATATATTTTATCTTATCATCACTTAAAAATATATATTTTTAAATATATTTTATTCTTATCTTCACTTAAAAATATATTTTATTTTTATTTTAAAATAAAAATATATTTTACCATTATCTAAATTTTTAAAAATATATTAAAATATCTTAACTTAAAAATTTATTTTAATTTAAAAAAAAAAGTATAATTTAAGTTAAGATAAGATAAGATAAGATATTTAAAAAAATAAATTTTAAAAGTTAAGATAATAATAAAATATATATTTTTATATAAAATTAATAATAAAATATTTAAATATATTTTAAGTTAAGGTATTTTGAAAAATATATTTTAACTGATGATAAAGATAAAACATATATTTTTATAGTAAAATAAAATTAAAATATATTTAATAAGTTAAAACAAAAATAAAATATAATTTTAAAATTTAAGATATATAAAATATTCTTTAATTTTGAATAAAGCATTTATATACTAAGATACAATATATATATATATATATATATATATTATTTGTTGTCCAAAATATATCAAATGATTGCCTTAGCTCAATGGTTTGATTTATAATATATATATATTATTATGTGTCATCCTTTGATTGGTGGAAAATAAATTTATTAAATTAAAAATAAATTAAAATAAATTTAGTCATCCAATCGAATAAAGACACATGTCATGACAGGTGGCACTAATGACACGTGGTACATTCTGATTCGATGGTTAAATTTATTTTAATTTATTAAAATTAGGATCAAATTGAAAGAATGTATAAGTTATAGGGATTAATTGTTAATTATACCAAAATGTTTTAACGGACACGTCACCACCTCTGTTAAAAATTAACGGCCGATAGCTTGATTGAAACATTTAAATAGTTGGGTGGTATGATTGATTCAATTGAAAATTCGGTGGTCAAATTGATTTTTGACCATAGTTTAGTGGTCTCCCGTAAGTATGGTTCAATTGTTGTTTGTTTCTAGAAGGTTATAGGACTTAATAGCCCCTATAGGCAGAAGTAAACTCTTCATAGGTTGAATGTGCTTTAGGTTGATGTGGTGTGTTTGTTAGAAACAACGGTAAAAGTTGTTAATTCTCAAGGTATTCTTGATTCTACTTTTGCTGATTGAGATTACTTTTTGAATTATAGGTGCTATGATAATGGTTGGATTTGCATCCTTTAGAGGAAGCATTTGACCATGGTTGTTTGTAAAGTGTCTAATCATTCTATTTATGTTTGTGATTTTTTAAGGGTTATACTTTTGTTATTACTGCTATTTACGACATTAATTATGGTGTTTCTCGTAAACACTTATGGCAGCAACTTCTAGAGTTATAAGGTATTGTTGATTATGATCATTGGATTGTTGGAGGGGACTTTAGCGTCATCCTTCATTCGAATGAGTCCTCTGATTTTGGTGTGGTTGGGTTCTAGTCTACTGTTGACATAAGGGATTTTTAGGATTGTATTGGAGGCTTGGCTTTGGATGATCATCCTCATATTGGTTTCTTTTTTACATGGACTAACAAACATGAGGTAGGGTTCTTAGCTAAAAAAACTAGACATGGTACTTGTTAACTCTAATTGGGTTACTAAGATCCCTAGTCTTTTTATGGAGTTTGTTGCTCCGGGTACTTCTGATCATTGTCCTACAGTTGTTTGGATGGATAAAGACAATCCGATAAAGAAGTTGAAACCCTTTAAGTTCTTTAATTTTTGGATTGGACATCTTGACTTTTTAACTGTTGTTGATAATTCTTGGAGGCTTGGGGTTTGAAGCAATAATCATATGTATCTCATTTTCTTGAAGTTAAAAAGGTTGAAAATGGCTCTTATGAGATTAAATATAACTCATTTTGAGGATATCTCCCTGCATGTGAAGCTTAAAAAGGAGCAAATAAAGCAACAATAACTTCTAAATCTGTCTGGGCAAGTTGATATTTAGTAGAAGGTTCTTATTGATGAATTGTGTGATCTTAAGCAGGTTGAGAGGCTTTTTTACAGGCAAAAAGCTAAGGTTAATTGGTTTACATATAGGGATCAATCTACTAAGTTTTCCCATACTAATGTGGCTTCTAGGCACAAAAAGAACACTATTAGGACTATGTTTGATGAGAATGGTTGCATATTAGATTCTTTCAAGGATATGTCTGTTGAGATTCAAAACTTTTTTATTAGGCTCATTAGTATTAGGGATCCTAATGTTTGTAGTTGTGATGTGAATAACCTTATGGATCTTCTTTAGTATGCCCTACCTGATGGTGCAGTTGAGGAGTTGACTAATGAGGTGGCTGATGGGGAAATTTAGGATGCTATTTTTGGACAGGTTGGAGACAAAACCCCAAGACCTGATGGCTATACCTCTTACTTTTTTAAGTCTGTCTGGTCTATTGTGGGGGAAGACTTCAATGTTGTTGTGAAGTACTTTTTTAGCTTTATTGAGATACCTAATGCTTTCAATTCCACTTATGTAGTTTTGGTGCCTAAGTTTCTCAATCAGAGCTCGGCTAAGGACTTTCGCCCCATTTCGTATTGCTCGGTGGTATATAAGACTGTTACTCGTATCCTTGTGGACATGTTAGCTCGTTTCTTCCCTGCTATGATCTCTCTTAACCAAAAGACTTTTGTTAAAGGGATGTGCATTGTTGATAATATCCTTTTAGCCCAGGAAATTATAAAGGGTTATATTATGAAGTCTTTATCTTCGAGGATTACTCTCAAGATTGACCTCAACCAGGCCTTTGATTCCTTGAGTTGGGAATTTATCTTGGCTATTTTGGAAGCCATGGGGTTACCTGTTGAATTTCAAGAATCGATTTAAGCTTGCTTATCCTCTCATCAGTTTTCTATTTTGTTTAATGACAACCTTGTAGGGAAGTTTGAGGGAGCTAGAAGAATAAAATAGGGGGACCCATCTCCCTATTTGTTTGTCCTTGCAATGAATGTGCTTTCTAAGATTTTGGATCTGGCTGCGGGGAGTAGGCTCTTTCAGTTCCACCAAAAGTGTAAGAGGATCAATCTTACTCACATTTGTTTCACATATGATTTGTTAATCTTATGTAAGGGTACTCTTGACTTGGTTATTGGGATTACTTGTGTCTTAGAGGAGTTTTATAGACTGACTGGTCTTAATCTTAATTCCTCTAAGAGTGAGATGTTCTCTGTTGGGATCCTTGGTGACTTCGAATAAGGCAATTTTTGATTTTAAGATTGGTATGTTACCTGAGAGGTACTAAAGGGGTCCCCCGTATGACTAGAAAGTTTTATGAGAAGGATTGTCAACCTTTACTAAAGAAGATCAAGGCGAAATTGAGGCTTTAGTTGAATCGTTTGCTGAGCTATGCTGATCATTTCCAGTTGATTAAGTTAGTTTTGATGAGCATTTCGAATTTTTTGGTGTAGGCAATTGATCTTGTCTCAATCTGTGACTAGTAGGATCAATCAGCTCTATATGTGTTACTTTTGGAAGGGTGATGACACTAAGGCCAATTGTGCTAAAATTAGGTGGCAAGTTGTGTGTTCCCTTAAATATGAAGGTGGCCTTGGGTTAAAGGGTATTCCAAACTGGAACTGAGCGTGTATCCTACAACTCATGAGGAAGCTCCGAGCTGATGAAGGTTTTCTGTGGGTGGCTTGGGTTAT